TACGAGGGATGGCAACTCGGCCCAATGCCTTTATAAAACAATAATTATAATACAATATACTACAATAATAATTAATTATAAAATTAAAATAAATTTCACTATAAAAATTGTGTCCACAGTTAGTGAACTTGGACAAGAGTAAACTCAAAATATTTCTTGATTAAATATTTATTTTACCTAGTTGAAGTTGAAGATATATAAAATAATTCATATTTTTTATTAAAAAATTATAGATTCATGTAAATTAAAAATGTATACTTTAATGGTAATGGAAAATGAAATAAAATGTTATTTATTCCTTAATTCACTCTTCTTATATAGATGTTTTTTTATTCTCAAACAACTTATGAAAATTTTTTTTCTAATATATTATAAGAGTTAAACTAATTGAATAAATGCACTTAAATTGACATTAAAAAAATGCTGATGCTATCAATGACTTGCAAACAATTTTCAGGAAACATTTGAACTCATACATACAAAACAACTGAACATAACATAACATAAGATATAATAAGGTAACATAAAATATAATTAATTGATAACATAGTTGGAAAAGAAAAACAATTATATTCAGTTTGCATTATTTTAATTGTCTTTTAATTTTTTTCAATTTTTCAAATTTCTTTTTCTTTAAAAGTTTTTTTTTTCATGTTTTTTTTTTTTTTTTTTTTTTTTTNTGGTTTTAATCCAATTTTTTTTTTTTTTTTTTTTTAAGCTTTTTATCAGACTTTTTTTTTCCTTTTTGAAAAACTTTTTTTTAGTCTTTTTTTTTTTATTATTTTTTTTTTAAATTTTTTACGCAAACTGTTAATTCTATATAACAACAAAGAATACGTAATACAAAGTATAAATTTACATTAAGCAGCATTTAACTGTACAATGAAACAATAAAATTTTATCTATGAATAGAAGTTTAAGAATTCGAGATATAAAATAACGAGGTTGAGAGTTGAAAAGAAATTCCAGGAAATAATAGGGAATATGGTCTCCATTCTGGTGACGCTCCAATTGAATATATTGTGAGAAGCCTTGCCAATAAAAGTCAGTAACTCCAACAGACATTCCAAAGTCAGGGACACACAATTCAGCATTGCGACAATTTTCTTCTCCCCACTTTTGTCATCTTTACTCAGAGATATCCTCTTTCTTTACCACATAGATTAGAATCCACTAGAGGTCAGTGTTTCTCCTGGTCTTATCAAGTTCAAAATTCTACGGGAATGAACCCGGGCATTTTCGTGAAACTTTGAAATGACAATCGAGGAAGAATTAAAGAGTAACACAAGATTATTTTTTCTTCTTTGACACTACATGCCAGAAGAGGGCAAATCTTTTCTAATCTATTTTCCATCCCAGTCTATTATTCAAGGCCACAGTTCTTTAATACTAAGATCTCTTTCTCATTGTAATAGCCATCGAATGACTGGTCTAATTGGAGTCTTTGGCACTACATGCCAGAAGAGGGCAACGCTTTTCTAATATGTTTTCCATCACAGTCTATTATTCAAGGCCACAGTTCTTCAATACTAAGACCTCTTTCTCATTGTATAGCCATCGAAAGACTGGTCTAATTGGAGTCCTTGGCACTACATCCCAGAAGAGGGCAACGCTTTTCTAATCTGTTTTCCATCCCATTCTATTATTCAAGGCCACAGTTCTTCAATACTAAGACCTCTTTCTCAATGTATAGCCATCGAATGACTGGTCTAATTGGAGTCTTTGGCACTACATGCCAGAAGAGGGCAAAGCTTTTCTAATCTGTTTTCCATCACATTCTATTATTCAAGGTCACAGTTCTTCAATACTAAGATCTCTTTCTACATTGTACAACCATCGAATGGCTGGTCCTCCTTTTTCTTTGGTGCTATAATTTTTATTCTAACTTTGTCTAACTACTTAGAGCGCTAATGATTTGGTTGACTCTTTTAAATTTGTAGTAGAGCTCACCGTTAAAAAATGTTTGCCATGTTAATTTTCCTTCTCACCTTTACAATACGTTCAAAATCAAAGACCAATAGTCAATCATACATTCGCATTTCTCCGTCAAAATTGACACAACAGCCCTCAACAGGATTACACTAGTCATTCTTGCGGATTAATTAAGCTACACCAATCATTCTTCAGGATAGCAGAAATGGTAAATGTATCACAAACTCAACATTTAAAAAATATGGAGTGCTAGCACAATAAAAACCATTTACATTTTGTGCTCTTAAAAATATCAGTGTAAAATATGAGAATATTAAAAAATACATTGAACAATTGTTTAGCAAGTCATTATTTTTTTTCCTTTTAAGAAGAGTATTTTTGTTGTAAAATTATGCAATGTATAGAAAATTTACTTCCTGAAGCTGAATACACAACATTTAAAAATATTCCGAAGAAAGTTTAAAATTTAGGAAGAAGAAAATAATTTAAAATATTCTAGTTTATTGTTTAAATAAATTATCACATTCATCAATAAATACATTTTATTTCGCCTAAAAAATTTCGTAATAAAATAGATATAGACATACATTATTTAAAGAACTATAGTCCTCCAAATAAAGTTGGCAAAGCATTATATTATGACCAAAAAATTTAAGTATTTTTCTTTTTATTTTAGAGTGATTTTTTTTTCTTTTTTTTTTTTTTTTGTTTAACTCAGCTCATGTTCTTTCTAATGCAATGCATTATTTTCTTTTACAAGCAAAATGAATGTGTTAATTTACATGACTATTTTTGAAAAGAGTTTTAAGATGTACTGAAATATATTTTGAACTCATATTTGGGTCTGGGCAAAAATAATAGTTTAAGTTTTATGTTTGTCTTTGTAACAGTTTGTCACTACCATTCTTCAATTTATTAAAATATATCTTATAACACGCCTCTAAATATGCAAAGTATAACGGATCTCATCCTTAAAACAGTCGCTGTTCTCATCTTTAAAGTTTGAGCCAACCGAATAGAAAATATTAAGTTCAAAGGAACCATTCATTCAATGTCCAATTTCATTTAATTTGAAAATCAGTGTTAAATAAAGAGCCTGCCTTACATTATTTTGCCAGAACATTTAAGATTTGTGGCGTATTATTGGGTGTTATGATATGAATGCACTTTAATAAGAATTTACATGCCATTATAATGCTTTAAAGAGACACTCTTCGATCGTAAATGAAGTAAATTAGTTATTAGATACATAGTGATGTTTTTTTTTGCATACATCTAATGTTTTTTTTTTTCAGAAATAAATTAAAAATAGCATGTGATTACCAGTTTTCCTGCCAAAATAAAATTGAAATTGTTTTAAAATAATTTAAATGGTTGAAATACATTCAGAAATATTAAATGAGAGTCAAAAGTAATTTTAAAAAAATAAAATTTATTTTCTACTTTTTAATTCAATAAGAACATGTAACATTCATTAAAAGCAAGTAATTTGAGAAAAGAAATTTAGAATCAAATAATTAAATGCAGTTAATATTTTTGCGGCACAAAAAAAAAAGAGAATGAAGTTGAAAAAGAGAATGCCAAACTTTGAACAGGAGAATCTATTCACTTGATACATCCTGCTTTATGAAACCGTTGTCTTATGGTTTTGAATAATCATCTTGACTTATAATTTTGGTGTAGACACATTACAAGCCGCTATGAATGTCTTACGTTAAAAACTTTGTTCTTCTTCTCTCTCTCTTTAGGGGTGACTGTAACATCATTTAACAATTATGCTTATACATAAATAAGTTACAACAACTATTGCAGTAAGATGAAAATCTCTGCAACTTTTTTTTTCAATCTTCAAGCAATCTTGAAGCATTTTATTTTATGAAACACTCTATGCGGACAGTAACAAAGAAGGAAACAAATTTTTTCACATAAAATACCGAAAGTAAAATAATAAAAGCAGTTAAAAAAACTGTTCGCATAATATTTTTTCTTATTTTTTAATTTCCTATTCAAAAAAAAATTCCTACACCCATTAATTAAATGCACTGCTGCGCATGCGTGTTTAATTAGCAGTCTCAACAAATTTGACATTCATTTATATTTGCAGAATATTTTTACTAAAATAAAAAGTCATGATTTGATAGCATTCATAAATAAACTCTCAATATTTATTATTATTTCTTTTTCATTTAATAAGTCAGTACTTGAATACACAAATGGGCGACCTTTGTGCTAAAATACTAAGGTAAACAACGTTTAGGAGCGCAAAAATATTTATAAATGCAGACAGCTGTTTCGGATGCTCAAAGGGCAACCTTTATCAGTGCAACAGAAAGAAATTAGGCTTAGGCTGAAGTTTTGTCTGTCCGCGAAGCGGACACTTCACTTCTTCATCTGTTGTAGTGCCCGTAGGCGACTGGAATAATGTCTTTATCAAAAGGTGGAGATGGCTTGGCTGTAGTTGTGGCTTGTGGGAGAGGTAAAGTCCCTATATCTTGTTTTCAGGTAGGAGAGAACGGAGAAGCTGGACTAGCTCCTCGTTTTGAAGTAGCTCCTGCACCTCTCGGAAGATGTGCAGAAATCTGTTTGCAGTATCAGTAGCACTCCTGTGCTCTTTCTTCTTTGGTAGTGACTTTCGTCTTGGTCTCGCAACGCAGCCTTTGAAACAGGCGGGATGCGCTCCATTGCAGTTAATGCAAGTGGCTGGCAGGCTTCTTGGTTTTGTGCATTTGTATGTGAAGTGATCCCCCGCACACTTCATGCAGGCAGGATCGGCAGAACAGTTCTTTTGAGTATGGCCAAATTTTTGGCATCTATAGCACTGTATGTCAAAGCGACCTCCTCTGAAACGCTCTATCTGGACTTTTGTAGAGAGAATCTCCTTGATGTTGTAGAATTCCTTGTTCTCTGGGCTATCTGGCAGTATGATCAGAAAGAGGGGGAGGAGCTTGTATCCTTGGTCCCGCCTCTTCCTCAGCTGCTCCTCTCTGATTGGCCCTCAACCAATAGCTATGAGTTCTTTCTCCAAAGTCTCTGTTTTGGAATCTTCTGAAAGTTCTTTAATGAGAAATTTAAGATTTCTGCTGATATTTTGCAGTTTCCAAGTCTGTGGTTTCTTCTGCTGGTTGGGCTGCAGGTGTGACGACAGGATCCGGGTTATTGTTAACGGATGGAATATCCATGCTTTCTGATGGTTGGGGAGGAGGATTCTTCCTTTTCTTTTCTGGAGGTTCGGTGTTATCCTCTACCTGTGATTCTATTTCTTGATGAGCTGTTGGCTCAAGCTTATCCTGTTGTTCTGTGGGAATACTATCAGTGATATCAGTTGGAGCTGGCTGCTCTGGCTTTGTTGACTCTGTAGGATTAGTAGTCATTTCAGATTCCATTGGCTCTGGTGGTAGGATTTCTGCCTCGGCTGCTGGCTCTGTTTCCTTCATCTGGTCATCTGTAGTGGTGGGAGTTTGCGGGTTACTCTCAGGTGGGGGCTCCTTAGTCTTTGCGGAAGAGAGCTTCTTCGGTCTGGCATTAATGGCTTGAATGGCATGGAAGGCTCCACCGGCGAGTCCCAGGTAGTAAGAATCACTCGTTGTTAAGTATATATGTACAAAGGTATCATTTAGTTGGTTCATTTTCGACTCAAGCCTTTGCAGAGTACGGTTGTGTTGTGACCAAGCTCTGAGCGAATTATGTTTTCTCGACGTTCCGGACGAGGTGGCAAGACTATGTCTGGCTCTCCTCCACCGAAAATTCAACGAAAAATTATTTATCCTGATTTTAAAGAAGTAAATTTACAACCCGGCGAAACATATGAAAATAAGTATGGAGACTTCATATATATGAATAAAAGAGGAAACAGCATCGGCATGATCAAGGACTTCCAGGTTCCCGAGGGAGCAACTTGGCCATACTACTCAGCTAACCCAATTCCAGATCCTGTGACAACTATGCCTGAACAACCGAATACCCCTGTGGAAACTCCAAATATGGAGACGGAAGAAAATGAACTTGCGACTGAGACTGACAACATCACTCCTCCCACAGAGTCTGAACAGAACCAAGAGCTGATACAAGAGGCTTCGGCCTCCGAATCGGAAAAATATACCGTGAACAACAACGAGCCCCCGGCAAGGAAAAGGAAGAAGAATAAAAAGCCCACTGATGTAATCAAAACCACTGATAGTTCTACTGCAACGACGTCTAGCAGCATTTCTCCTTCAGAGTCCATTTCTCAGCCTGAGCCCGTGAACCCTCCAACATCGGTAGCTATGGATGTGACCTCAAATAATGACAAAGGTGGAGCTTATGAGCCCCTCCCCCTGTTCCTCATCATCGCACCAATAGCAGACCAGGATAAGATCTTCTTCTGGGTGCGAGGCCCGCCCCGGTCGAAAAAGACCACAGACCAAGTCCTCACCTGCATCTATAGCTCATAGATTAGTTTCACTTGTGAAAGAATTGCAGGAGCTCCTCAAAAACCAAGAAGTGACAAGATTACTTCAATCTCTACTAAATGGGGTCTCCCCATCTCAATGATGATCATCTCACCTTCACTCAAGCCCTACTCCAATGATGAACTGAACTTTTTCAGATTTTTATTTTGAACTTTTTTAAACATATGACTCCCAAGCATATGTCTACTTAGAATCGACGAATCGGTTGGTGGCCCTTCGGACCAAATACCGAGATCACAGAAATATCAAGCATCAAGCATCTTTCTCATTCCATTACAGCTCTAGCCTTTGCAGAGTGCGGACGTATTGAGTCTAGCTCTGCGCGATCATGCCTTACAACCATTACAACCGAAGAGGACGCGGCGGCAAGGTCTTACCTACCGTCAGCAGTCACGATGCTTCCATCTCCTTGGATAAACTCATTGAGACCTGCGGAATTCCCGCGAAATATCTACCACCGATAGATCTTGTGGAAAAAGATAATCTCTACAAATTCTACGTGCAGCTTCTCTGGGAGGAACTGAACGAAGCACAAAATCTCCTGTGTAAGTATCTCGGTATTCTAGGCATAGGACCATACTACAAACACTTCCGGAAAATGTCAGACGCTGCCTACCATGCCAAGTACTTGACAACCATTCGACAGAAGGATTCCAAAGAAAAGCCAATCCCTGAAATCACTACCGAGGACAGCGATAGAACTGCCGAGACTTCAAGCGCCGATCCCCCAACAGAGCCTGAACCGATGGAGGAGGCGATAGCCCCCGAAATCGTGAACATGATTGAGCCTGAGTCTTCCTGTTTTGAATCTCCAAATTTAACCGAGGTTAAATTAGTTCCCATCTCCGAGTCACCAGTGGAATCTTCCCTTGTGGAACCCTCAACTGAGACCAGCAAAGAAAAGGAGCCTGATTCTAAAATTTCCCCTACTAAAAGGTCAAGGAAGAGAAAGAAAAAGTCCCACAAAACCAGTGATCCCAAGGTGCCTTCTCCTGCTAGTCCAGAAATCCCACCAGTGATCATCCCAGCAGATCCAGTTCCGATAGAGCCTTTCCCACCGAAAACTCCTAGCATTCCGCCGAGAAAACTCAGATTTCTCGAGCGAGGACTTACCGCAGACCTTCCGACGGACAGTCTCTAGAACGATATCGAGGCGAATGGACTTCGTCCAATCAAAATCGAGCAGCTTAGAAAGAGGAGTGGTGACGGCTACAAGCTCCTCCCCCTGTTTCTAGTGATACTTCCAGACTCCCCTGAACATCGGGAATTCATCGACGTAAAGAACTTATTGACTGTGCCAGTTAAGATCGAGAAATTCCATGGAGGGCGCTTAGCTATTCAATGCTATAAGTGCCAGAAATTTGATCATACGCAGAAATCCTGCCCCAACGAACCTGCCTGTATGAAGTGTGCCGGAGCTCACTTCACTTATCTTTGCAAGAAGCCTCTCTCCCTCCCAGCGACTTGCGCCAACTGTAAAGAAGATCACCCAGCCTGTTTTACAGGTGGCAGTGCCCGGCCTAAGAGAAACCATCGAGCTTCACCTAGCAGATCAAAAGACTCTCTATCCAATGCTACAAGGTTCCTGAAAACCTTCAAGGAGCTTCAGGAGTTACTCAAGGACGAGGCAGTAGTTTCACTGATCACCTCAATCCTTCCTTCTCTCAAGAGATAGCCAACAGGCTTTCTCCATCATGCCTACTACAGCCACATGACGAACTTTTTGCCCCATCTATCCTAATTTCAACACCTACTTCAGATCTGCTTCGGCAGTATTGTATCAACCCCACTGAGATGAATGAGTTGGGGCCCCTGACGGGGCCGGTACTTAGTTAACCATAAGACATAGGCATTCTTTCGCATTCCAGCCCAAGCCTTTGCAGAGTGCGGTTGTATTATATCCAGCTCTGTGCGAATCATGTCTCATCGAAATGCTCGCTGCGGGAAGGTTAGCCATACCGTCCGCCCACGGACCTCATCTTTTGATGCTGCATCTAAGTTGGATAAACGGTATTTACCACCCAACGACTATGATATTTGGCAGATTAGAGACCATCTACTCTCGATTACTTCTGATCTTGAAGAAATGAACAAACTGAATGATACCTCTGTACAGACATACTTAACAACGAGTGATTCTTACTGCCTGGGACTCGCCGGTGGAACCTTCCATGCCATTCAAGCCATTAATGCCAGACCGAAGAAGCTCTCTTCCGCGAAGACGAAGGAACTCCCACCTGAGAGTAACCCGCAAACTCCCACCACTACAGATGACCAGATGAAGGAAACAGAGCCAGCAGCCGAGGCAGAAATCCTACCACCAGAGCCAATGGAATCTGAAATGACTACTAATCCTACAGAGTCAACAAAGCCAGAGCAGCCAGCTCCAACTGATATCACTGATAGTATTCCCACAGAACAACAGGATAAGCCTGAGCCAACAGTTCATCAAGAAATAGAATCACAGATAGAGGATAACACCGAACCTCCAAAAAAGAAAAGGAAGAAGAAGAATCCTCCTCCCCAACCATCAGAAAGCATGGATATTCCATCCGTTAACAATAACCCAGATCCTGTAGTCTCACCTGCAGCCCAACCAGCAGAAGAGACCACAGACAAGAAACAGACTGAGAAACTGCAAAATATCAACAGAAATCTTAAAGTTCTCATTAAAGGACTTTCATAAGATTCCAAAACAGAGACTTTGGAGAAAGAACTCATAGCTATTGGTTGAGGGCCAATCAGAGAGGAGCAGCTGAAGAAGAGGTGGGGCCAATGATACAAGCTCCTCTCCCTCTTTCTGATCATACTGCCAGATAGCCCCGAGAACAGGGAATTCTACAATATCAAGGAGATTCTCTCTACAAAAGTCCAGATAGAGCGTTTCAGAGGAGGTCGCTTTGGCATACAGTGCTATAGATGCCAAAAATTTGGCCATACTCAAAAGAACTGTTCTGCCGATCCTGCCTGCATGAAGTGTGCGGGGGATCACTTCACATACAAATGCACAAAACCAAGAAGCCTGCCAGCCACTTGCATTAACTGCAATGGAGCGCATCCCGCCTGTTTCACAGGCTGCGTTGCGAGACCCAAGATGAAAGCTACTACCAAGGAAGAAAGAGCACAGGAGTGCTACTGATACTGCAAACAGATTTCTGCACGTCTTCCGGGAGATGCAGGAGCTACTTCAAAACGAGGAGCTAGTCCAGCTTCTCCGTTCTCTCCTACCTGAAAACAAGATATAGGGACTTTACCTCTCCCACAAGCCACAACTACAGCCAAGCCATCTCCACCTTTTGATAAAGACATTATTCCAGTCGCCTACGGGCACTACAACAGATGAAGAAGTGAAGTGTCCGCTTCGCGGACAGACAAAACCTCAGCCTAAGCCTAATTTCTTTCTGTTGCACTGATGAAGGTTGCCCTTTGAGCATCCGAAACAACTGTCTGCATTTATAAATATTTTTGTGCTCCTAAACATTGTTTACCTTAGTTTGTAAGTCAGTACTTCTTTATTTAGATTAAAATAAATGAATGCAGTAAGAGTAATTTCTTACGGACAAAAATAGCTCACAGAAATTTATTTTGTCTGAAAACCAATTGCATAACACTAGTATTAGTGAGTAATTTTTTTTTTTACACAAATTAATAATTGATCTAGATTAAATAAAGACACTCTGTGATAATAAGTTCAAAACAAAGTTTCCTTGTTCAAAAATCTTAAAAGGAACGTACTTGTAACATTTTTTCTCACTACCAATAAGCGATTTTAGAAAATTCAGCAGCTTATGACATAAATGTTATGATGGAGACAATTATATTAAGATTAAAATGGTTTTTTACTTATAATAACATCATAAAAAGGTTTATTTGTTCACTGCTCAGGGTGCTAAATCAAGTTTATTTTTTAAAAAAATCGCAAAGTTTTTATTATTTTGTTAAAACAAATATTGGTCTAAATTTATTTTTGCAGGGTGGGTAGCCAAATCTTTCAACTAAAAATAAACACCTTTTAAGTACTTTTTTAACGCTCAAAATATTTTTAAGCACTATATACTATATATAATTTTCAAAAACTTTACATGATCATGAAACTTAATACATAAAGCTTCGTATTGTATTGTTCGATGGTTTCATCTTGAGTGGAACAACAAGAAAAATCAAATTTAATCCTTTTGAATCAAAAGTAAAAAAGATAATTTTAATAAATTTACTTACATTTTAATCACTTAAAAAATTAAATTTTGATGTCAAAAAATATTTTTTATAAAGAGGCAATCAGACTAAATGAATTACCAACAATAATATTTTTTAAAGAGTTGAAAAAAAAATCTAAATCAATGAGGCGAATTTTATATTTATTTGAGTCTATTTTGATTTAATGTTATTTAAAATCTAATAATATTTGATCAATGGAAACTAATTAACCTAATTAACTATGAAACATAAAGGTTTAAAAGATGTATATTGTGTTTAATTTAAGTAATTAAAATGTAAGTAATTTATGAAAGTTTATTAAGATTTATCATCCTAATTAACAGATTTTTTTAAAAAAATTTATGAGCTATTTGAAGTTTTTAAAATAAAATTTAACAATATAATATAACTATATAATATATATATGATACATATATATATATATAATATAATGTATATTATATATATATATNTATATATATATATATAAGTAGTAATAATATGAGAATGACTTAACTCCTCCTTCTAGGACGAAGCCTTGTCTCCGTGTAGTTTAGCCTAGGCTTTTTTCTCAGCCTAGAAGATATTGGCTCTTCATCCTGAAGCTGACTGGAAGAAACTTTAGCGGAGTAGAAGTCACCAAGCAACATAGCCAGTCTGGTGCTCCTGGGTTCTGAAAAAGAAATTCATTTAAAATTTTAAACAAACGTAAATATAAATCATTTGTGTGGATATAGGAAATAGAAATAATAAGGAAGACAATACCTTTTTGTTAGTTATTATTATTATTTAAAAGTAGCTAAAAAATCTTTTTAATTTTAAGTAGGAATTTGTTTTTACATCATTTCATTTTACATCATGATAAAATACGAAATTTTAACGATATTAATCAAATAGTTCACGAGGAAAGGATTTTCTAAAATATGGCTTTTATTTAAGTTACATAACCCAAACTATTCAATCAATTTAGCCCAAAAATTTTTGTAATTAAAATAATAGTTTAAAACAGAGTAAAAAGTTTGTTAAGATTTTAGTCCTAGAATAGGAAGATCCAATGATAATTAGTATAAAAAATTATTCATTGTTGACCATTTTCATATTGCGCACTATACTTAAGGTAACTTGGATGTAAAAATTAATAGCAAATGTTTAACTAAACAGGGTTTGTTCCTTCACAAAGTTTGTTCCTTCAAAAAGAAAAAGTTACCTTTTATTCGCTACAAAAGTTAATGATTAATGCTGATGATTATTAATGAGTTAATTATAAGCAGGGGCAATTTTGAGCCTAACTCAGAAATCCTGATAATTTCTTGAGCAAAATCCTTTAAGCAGCATTTCAAAAATTAATATCTTTATAAATTTAAATCATTGATATTTTCAAATCATGAAATTCTAAATAAACTATATGCAGCATATTTTAAATGAATAATTATTTATAAGTTTATTTTTTATCTCTAATCATATTTATTATTCTACCAGAGAAAATATTTACAAATGAAAGGGATGCCAAGTATAAATTGCAGCTCTAATATTTTTAAATAAAATATACAAGAATTTTTATAAGTAAATGTGATGATTTCTTGAAACTTCTGGATCTTGGATTTCCAGAAACTTACGGATCGTGGTTAGCAAAAAATCTGGAAATCCGGATTTTTTTGCGGAGCACACTCACCTCTGAATAAGTTATTAATAAGTAACCGCTTGTAAGTAATGAGTTATTAATAAGTCACTGATTAATTAACTTAGTGCAAAAGCTCTCCTCAACTTAGTTGAATACTGAGCAGGTCGCTGACCACCAAATTTTCATAAAAATTGTTTAAAATTAAAAAAAGAAAAAAATCTTGTGAAAGTAGTTATTTTAAACAGGTATCACAGCGAAATCTTTCAACAAAAAATAAACACTTTTTAAGCAATCAAAAAATATTTTTAAGCACTATATACATTAACAAAATTCAAAATAGTTTTCAAAGACTTAACATGATTATAAAATAACTAGTTTCTGACCAAAAAAAAAAAACTCTTTTCTTGATTCTATTAGCTATTATAAAATGATCAAGAGGTTTTTTTTGGTGCTGTATAAGAGGGGGGTAAATGAAGCCTGAAATTGAGAATATCTTTCAAAATGCAGCAGAATTGCACATGCAAGCATTTCATCAAACATGTAGAATGATTGGGACTTTCCTACGCTGTGGACCGATGGTTACGCCAAAATGGATAGTAGTTGAATGAATTATGAAAACGTTGGACAATGTAAAAAGCGCTCTTTTGCGTCGCGAAAATCGACAAGAAATTCTCATTTTGGAAAAGGGAAAATTAAGCACTCTTTAAAACCACCCTATGAAAGGAGCACTTTAAAGGATTTTTAAAAAGCGGAGAGCACCATGTTTAATATTGAATAAGTTAATGGCAGGGGTCTGTCCAGACATTTTGTGAAAGGTCCGTTTTTCGTGAAATTGTGAAAAAAATTACTCACATTCTTTCAACCAGGGTCCGCTTTTATGAATTTGTGCAAATAGGGTCCGTTATTGCTAAAAAAAATTTTTTCAAGGAGTTTTTACATTTTACGGACATACAAGATTGTGCTCAACACTGTAAAATTGTAATTAAAAAAATTAAATTTTAAAAAATAAACAACAATTGCTCCTTCTAAATTAGAGATGCAACATACTTGGTATTTAGCCTATACTGCTGAACGCAGAATATTAATTTCGGGCGAATAATGGAAGAATCGTCTGCCGAAGACAAAACTTAATTCGTTTACATCCATCTTTCTTGTTTTCTGCCCTGG